TAATTCGTACGAGGAGCACCTGGAACATGTAGAATTTGTACTGAGAAGACTGTCTGAGAACGGGTTTACTATTAACCTGAATAAATGTAAATTCTTTCGGACGTCAATTAAGTTTCTAGGGCACATCATAGGGAATAAGGGCATATCGCCGGACCCTGATCACATAGCACCAATTCTGACTTATCCTGCACCGAAAAATCAGAAACAATTGCGGCAATTTTTGGGTACCTGCAACTTTCACCATCGATTTATTATCAATTACGCGGAATACACTGCCCCATTGGTTCCCTTACTAAAGAAAGGTGTATGCTGGAAATGGACCCATGACCACGAGGAGGCTTTCTTGGAATTGAGGAATGCGTTTGCTGCAAGCATTCACCTGGCACATCCGCGAAACGATTTAACCTACGAGATATATACAGACGCTAGCTGTTACGCAATCTCAGGAATTTTGACTCAGACTGATGAGAAGGGTCAAGTCTCCATAATCACTACCGCGTCCCGGATATTGTCTTCACCCGAAAGGAGGTATACGACATGCGAACAGGAGCTTTTGGCTGTCGTGTTTGCGTTACAAAAATTTCGCATATATGTCTATGGCAGGAAGGTGAAACTATATACGGACAACAAATCAGTGTCATTCATCGAGAAATGCGTTATAACTTCCGGTCGCGTCGCGCGTTGGGCACTGATGATCCAAGAATACGATTTGACTTTAGTCCACATCGCGGGAACGAAGAACCATTTTGCGGATACTTTAAGCCGCAACCCAGCTGGTCTCACCCCCAAGCAGGTCAACGCCCTGAAACAGCCTCAGGGAATTGTGATCGCTCGCATTGATCTTGGCCTGGATGTGTCGATGCAAAGAGACATAAGAAACTTAGCCATTATTCAAGAAAGGGATCCTGATTTGCAAGAAATCCGTAGATTGGTAAAAGAAGGATGCGAGAATTTGAAAGAACGATTCCTAATACACGAAAATTTGTTATATACCGTAGATACGAGGAGCGGGACCCCATGGAAAGTAGTCGTACCTCGGGAGTTGGAAGAAAAACTGATAACTTATGTTCATTTAGCAAAAGGTCATGCAGGAACTGACAAGTGTGTTGAGAGTATAAATGCAATGTTCCATCTCAAGAACTTGGGACGCAAAACACGGAAATTATTAAGCCTTTGTGAGGTCTGCCAAAAGGTGAAGTTCCCCAACTGGAAGTATGAAGTGGAGCCCAGACCGCACCTCCCGGAAAGAAAAGGACAGCTCATCAGCGTGGATTTCTATGGACCGGTTCCGCAAGGGCGAGGGGGAGTCAGGTACCTGTTTGTGTGCCTGGATGTTTTCACTAAATTCATAAGACTGTACCCGTTGAAATCAGCCACAACCAAGGCGTGCCTGCAGAGAATCATGGACGACTTACATCCCTCACGTAGTAAAACCGGAGATGATTTTATCGGACCACGGGACACAATACACGTCTAGGAAATGGAAAAATGGATTGAACGAACTCGGAATTAACGTTCGATTTACCCCTATCAGGAATCCTCAATCAAATCCCGTCGAGAGGTTTATGAGAGAAATTGGGAAGGCGTGTCGCATCTACTGCGAAGAGAACCATAAGAAATGGCCGGAACTAATTCCTCACCTCGAATCCTGGGTAAACGAGACAGTATCTGAAGCGACAGGCTTCACGCCACGCGAATTAATGTACGACGAGGATGCGCCACGATTATTCTCAGAATTACTACCCACCTCACCCGAGGAAGAAGCAGAGCCGCTAACGTCGGAACAAAAAGCAATCCAAGCATTCGCCCGATTGAAGAAACGCGCGGAGAAACGGGAGCAACGCAGGAAAAGAGGCCTACGCAAATGGAACCCGGTTGTAGGGGAGGAAGTTTTGGCCGAAGCGTGCCGCTTGTCAGATGTGAACCGAGCCATCACTCACAAATTTGCTCGCCCATATGAAGGACCCTTCCATATAAGTTGGATAGTATCGCCCACTATATTTGAGATTTTCGATGAAAAGGGGAGAATTAGAGGCATATTTATTAAGGGGGCTCTGAAGAAGTTCCGACGCTAAGGACCCACCGCTACATACATCCATTAATTTTGGGACGGAATAATGCGCCTATCCTCTAAACCCCCATTCCATACCTCTGACAAATTCACATGGCGTTGGGTGATGAATTGAAGTCATAATAAGATAATAACTGTTAAGATAGGTATAAGGAATAAACATGATCTGTTGTTATAATGTTAAGAGTGGAGCGTCCCCATGAAGAATGGATGAGGATTGGAGGTATGAATGTATGATGAGGAGGGGAAAGGTGAAATCCCCGTAGTGCTTGTGGTTACTCATTTGATCGCAGTATGGTAGCTCTAATAATATATGTTGAGAACATCGGTGATTTGAGATCAGTTCAGTATAGGGAAGCTAAGTTTATCATCAGATAAGGGAACCGAGTTCTATCCATATCCTAAAAGTGTATCGTCGGAAGAAGAAAATTACGGAAGATAATATTAAAATAGTATCGTCGAGCGAGTGAGTGGAGAGAGATAAAAGAGTGGAAGGAAGAAGGGAGAGAGAGGTTCTAAAAGTGAAATCATCGAAACAAGAATGTGAGTGGTGATAGATAAGTGGCCTGAGACGCGTAAGGAAGATGTGCTGAAAGTGACGTCGCTGAAAATTGAGTGTAAAGTTAAATGTAGATGTGGGCGTTGGCCCTACTGAGGAAATAATAGTTGGTTAGAATTATCAGAAGGCAGGTACCGATAGGAGTGTGAGTGAGCTATTGTGATGTAAGCGGAGAGATTCCCGAAGCAAAGACTGTCAATCACTGAGTGTCGAGGCTACCCACTTGATGTAACTGGAGTAATCCTAGGAGAATGATAGGATTATAAGGATTATCATCTTAGCATGTGGAATTTTATTTGTAACGTGGGGACGGTCCATTATATGTGTAAGAAGTCTTGTATTGTTTGATTTTAACTTAAGTGTAATTTAGTACGTGAAGGGCGTACATGAGAGTGTCATGAAATCAGAGAAACTTCTTTCATCACATGTGTTTTGGAAGTTACCTGATTTAACGGGGGAGTTTGTAACTGTACGCACCCTTCACGGAGGTATCTTATCTGTTTATGCTTAGCGATTGGGTTTGGCTGTGGAAGTGAGATGCCCTGGAGGGTTCATGGTCCTCTGAACTGGCCTTTTGTTACGAGGGACAGAAGGGAGGTTGGTGAGTCCATTGCATTCGGGGGGGTGTAGATATACCTCCTTTCGTCCGTGCCTGTGGGGGTGGAGGACCTGTGGATCGAAACTTCCAGAAGGTGTGCAGACCGGAAGGGGTCCGTGCATTTGGTCATGAAGCCCTCCCAGTGGAAAGTTCGAGATGGCTAAGAACGTGGTTTCTGGAAGCAGCAGCGGGGGTAAGGAGTTGGTTAGTGAGTAGAAGCCGGGGAGTGAGGGTGTTCATGTCGAACCTGTGCTAGGGGGGTTAACCGATCGAGCCCGCATAAAAAAAACGACATAAGCGAGCCAACACCCGTGTACCCCTGGGATATAAGACTCATTCCGCTGAATTTAGTCGAGGCATACACCGCGTGGAAGTAAAGCGTGTGGGGACGGGTGTAGTGTCAATCTTCTTGGCTGAAAATTGCCACCTGATTCTATTTTCCTGGCCCACTCTTCGACCCTACCCGAAAGATGGAAAGTGCATATTCTTCTGAAAGTTGCTAAAATTCCACATAACATTACATGCCAGAAGATACCTACTTACTTACTCCTGAAGCTGAGCCCTTCTTGAGGAGGCCAATTCTGCAGCTACTCGAGAATTTCCCAGCATTTTATGGAATCCAAAGGTTCATTACCATGTTCACAAGAGCCCTCCACTGGTCCCTATCCTGAGTCAACTAAATCCAATCCATACAATCCCATCTGTCTATGATCCATTTTAATATTTTCCACCCACCTACATCTTGGTCTTCCCAGTGGTCTCTTTTTCCTTCTGGCTTTCCCACCAATATCCTATATGCACTCCTCCCCATTTGCACTACATGCCCTGTCCACCTCATTCTCCTTGACTTGATCATTCTAATTATAATTGGAGAAGAGTACAAGTTATGAAGCCCCTCATTATGCAGTTTCCTCCAACCTCCTGTCACTTCATCTCTCTTTGGTTCAAATATTCTCAACACCCTGTTCTCAAACACCCTCAGTCTATGTTCCTCCTTTAATGTCAGAGACCAAGTTTCACACTCATATAGAACCACATGCAAAATTATAGTTTTTTATATTCTAATTTTTATGTTTTTGGACAGAGACGGGAAGACAAAAGGTTCTGGACTGAAAGGTAGCAAGCATTACCTGAGTTCAATCTCCTCTTAATTTCCTCCTGAATCAGGTTTTGATTTGTTACAGTTGTTCCCAAATATCCAAACTGTGCCACATTTCCAAAACATCTGTTACCTATCTTCATGTCATGATTTTGCCCTGCATTTTGGTGATGAGACAGCAACATATAGTAAGTTGTCTCTGTGTTTACGTCTAGACCAACCTCCTTACTTGCGTCAATTAAAGTTTGTGTGTTTTTGTTTATGTTATCTATATTATCACCCAGTAGGCCAGAAGATACTACTCTTCATAATCACATTAATCTTTTCTACTTTTTGAGATGAAGATGAATAGTTTCAAGGTTTAAATAATTGTGTAAAGTCTTATCAGATCATTCCAATGTCACTTGGGATTCAGCTTCATTGTCTGGTAAACTGTGTCTACTTTTAGCTGTATGAGCAGTCAGTAATTTACAACTTATAGTAGTAATATTTAAGCTTTTTTAAAGTTACTGATATGCTATCCCCATAAATTCTAACAACAAAACTGGAACAAAAAAACAGAAATAAAAATAACATGGACAAAAATGTATGAAACTACCTGAATATCAAATGTAAATATTCTTCTTATATTTCAAATTTGAGGAGTTCAAGAAAATGTTCTCATTTGTCATACCTGATTCTTGTTTCGATGAAGCAGCAGCTGCAGTTATCAGAACTGTTGTACAGTTATTGAGTATGAGGCGGCCAGCTGATGTATCCTCAGACACATCTTTACCAAGGTTCATGAGCGCAAATAATTCTCCTGAATGAGCATACTTTGCAGTACTAGTTGCTACACCACATGGAGCAAGTAGGTAGCAATCCGCAAGACGTAACCTGGCTGTCAGATTGTACCTAGCCACCTATAAACATAACAGAAATTAATTCTCTCTTGTGACAACATTCATATAGGAGGCAAGATACCTCAGTGTGCATAACAAGTAGAATACAGGCCAGACAACAGAAGAATCAAGATTTGAATCAAAGGAGGAGGAAGAGACTTTTGTCATCTGTACAGCATCCAGACTGACTCTGGAACCTGAACAGCCTCCTGCCTGTGAGAGTACTAGGGGCTCTTTATTTGAGAATAAAACAGTTTGGATATGAAGCTGTTCACTCACCTCCATTTAGTGCCAAGATTAGAATTCATGTAAATACAACTATCCTGCCACTTACAACTTCATGGCATGATGCTTAATTAAGGGCAGGGACAAGGCCACACCATAGCTCAAGCAGTTACTCGCTGGCTTCCCACTGCGGCGGCCCAGGTTCGATCCTGGGTCTGGTCAAGTGGGATTTGTGGTGGACAAAGTGGCGCTGGGGCAGGTTTTCTCCGAGTACTTTGGTTTCCCCTGCCAATTTTCATTCCACCAAATTCTCCATCATCATAATCATTCGGGGCAGGCTACAATATGCCAATCAGTGGCCGCGGTGATGAGTGGACCCAGTTGGACTCCACCCCTCAATAAGCAATCCAAAAAGAGAGAGAGAGAAAGGCAGTGACAACTTTACCTTTTTTTTTTTTACCTTTATGAAATCTCTAGGAAATGACCATGAAGGATTTAATACTCCAAATGCAGTTAAATATAAGAAGAGACTTGGAACATTCCAGAAACTGGCATAGATCCTTATACAGTGACAAGAGAGCTGAAAGTTCTGCAAGTAGAGCAATCTTTTACTAACAGTGGTTTTGCAGATCATGGATATCCATTTGCATCCAGGTTTGCCAGCAATAAATAGTATTTGGTTTTATGTGTCTAAATCTGAGTAACATACTTTATGTCGAACATTACTAGACCCCTTTTAATTTAGTGAAGTCTCAGACAGCTTAGACTTTGATGAGTGTTAACATTGGCTGTAGTTCTCAAACAACCAAAGCCTTGGTCTTCCTAATCATGTTTTCAGGAGTACAACTTACATGCTTGACAAGGGACTGCCATATTACATACTGAGACTTAAACTTGACAAATTTTTAGAAAACCTACAAAGGAAACGTTTTTCTCTGAACCAACATTCCCATACAAAGGCCACACACATGGTGAGAATGACAGCACTCCAAGCACAGCACTTGATGTCTACTGATGAACTTCCCTCTGCCCGTTTTCACCTATCCTAATCAGGTCAAGGAACTTGTTGTTATCACTGCCAGCCTTCAAGCAAACAGAATGGCTAGACAGCTGGGGGAGAATACAGGGCTGTAAAATGGAGAAGAAGTGTAGACACTACAGCAGTGTGGAGGAGCTCAATCCATGGGGCTTCTAACCATGACTTCAGCTCTGTGAAGGGTTCAACATATAGAGAAAAAATCAGCTTTACTTCATCACATGTCTGTCTTCTAATGCCACACCCTGATAGTCAAGTCACTTGTGCTTTCAACTTTAATTGGCTGGTGTATTCGTAAAAGAAATAGGTAAACTTTTCCCTGTGCTTAACCAATTAAGCACTACGCCATGAAGACATATGGGGGAGTGCTGTATTTGTAACTCTTTCTATTGTGGTGGCCCTGAGTTGAAGTCAAAACAAGGCAGGCAGAATTTAGCAAACTGCAAAGGATGGCCTGCTTGGGAATTATAGGAGCAATGAGAACAGCTCAAACAGCTGAAATTGAAGTCCTCCTTGGACTCCCCCCCCCCATGACACCTGCAGATGGAAGCGGATGTCAAGGCAGGAAATTATACACTACCTTGCAATGATCAATGGAAACCCAAATCTGAAGGTTTTTGACATGCATACAGGTCATGAAAAAAGAACCCCTCCTGCAGATGAGGCCTGATATAATGATACAGAGACATGTCTGTCATAAACCCTTCATGATCAGATGCCCTGGTAGAAGTGAATGGAAAGAGGGGTTTCACCCCGACAGAAAGGGGGAACTAAGGCACTGGAGCTGGGGTGTATTGCGATGGTACAAAGCGAAAACTTAGTTTTAGCCTTGAGCAGTACACAACAGTATTCCTGGCAGAATGTATGCCATCAGGGCATGTCCAGTTCAGAATCTAGATAGGAACTATAAAAACGGAAATATGTACATTCTATCAGACTCTCAAACTGCCATTAAAGCACTTGGTACACACCAAATCACTTCAAAATTGGTCTGGGACTGCCACAAATCCCTCATACAACTGGCCAAACATAACAGAGTTCAGCTGATATGTGTGCCAGGTCATGAGGGTATTGTTGATAATGAAATGGCAGATCAGCTGGCAAGAATGGAATCTGAACATCTGTTCACAGGACCTGACTCAGCTTGCGGCATCTCAGTAGGAGTTGCCAAGAAAGCAGTCAGGGACTGGGCAAACAAAAATCAAAGAAAACATTGGGAATCTGTAACCAGACTCAGACAAGCAAAGGGTCCCATACTAGAGCCCTCTGCCAGAAGAATGAAGGACTTTTTCAAATTAAGCAGACACCAATTAAGATGGCTGGTAGGACTATTTACAGGACACTGTCACCTAAAAGGACACCTTTTCAAACTGGGATTGACAGATGACCCAACTAGCAAAAGTTGCCTAGAAGAAGAGGAATCAGCCACACATATGCTATGTGATTATGAGGCTATAGATTATCATAGATTTCATCACCTGAGTCAGTTCTTTATGGAAACAAGTGACTCTTATGATGCCCCCACAAGAAAAGTCCTACCTTTCATTCAAAATGTAGGATTAATAAAGGGTTAATCAAAACAGGAAGCACAATAGATCACTGAAGGTCACAGTCCAAGGCCAGACTATTATGGGCCACCCCCCATATATTCATTCAACTCTACTCTCACATGTATGTCCTGAAAAATGTCTGTTCAAATTCAACCTGTGCAAAACAAAGTCCTGCTGAACTTCGATTCCCTTAATATTTGAAGAATTTTGTGACATGAATATAATTAGATCCAGAAATTTTATTTAGTGTTAGAAAAATGAGCAGTACACTAACCTGTTCATATCTTGCCATTTCCTCAACACAGAGCAGTTCATGAATGCGAGCGCGGTAATTATTCCGAGTCAGTTTCTTCTCTGTAACTGTTGACTGTGTGAGGGTGAATGTATCTCCACGAGGACTAGGATATGCATTCAACAGATCTCTCTCACGTTCACTGTCTTTCGCGATGGCTGCTGGAGTAGGCACCATGGGAGTAATTGGAGAGGAGAACGGTACAATATCTGCATTTGTTGTATCCCATCGTTCTGCAGTTGAGAGAACCAGCTCTTTACGAATCTCTTTCATTCGATCAACATCTGTTACAGGAACCACATCTACACATAAATGTCGAACTAACACCGGTTTTCCACCAAAATCAAACACTACTGATTGTCGAAACGTCCCATAAATATCTGTAGCAAATGACACTTTCACTTTATGTTCTAAAATTTGTGAAGCACTCTCAGATCTCATTGGGTCTCTTTGTTCTAGGGCCTCAATATTTGGTACACTCCACTCTTGATCATTGCTTGGAGTCCATTCAGAAATAATTTTCCGTGACAGATCTCCACTTGACACATACCTACAAGAAAGAAAAACTCCTACAGTTCTGTTTCAGGTGAAGAGTTCTTGTATTTGGTTTGCAATGGCACAGTAAAGAACTTATTTTCTGATACGAGAACATTTCAAATGCTTGTAAACTTCTAAGCTCAAACACAGCAAGGAAACTTTAAGACCAGTACTATGAGTAATGTAGTGTGACATGTTGCGCAACGGAGGACCCCTACCTCCCCAGCGACACGTGGCGGTAACGTAGCGCTCCCTCCCCCCACCCCCTCCGCACGGTAACGTAACGCGCAACACGCGGTGACGTAACAGGATGACGTGGCACTCATTACGCAACAGGCAAGCACTGCAGCTATATAAGGGAACTGCACAGTGGCTACGAGTTAGTTATATTGTGGCCATCGCCGAGCTCAGTTCCGAGCTAGTTCCAAGCAAGCCTACGGGTCAGTGCATTATCAACGAGTTCTCAGTTCGCAAGTTACGAGCTACAGACGCGTGTGCGAGAATCAGTGATAGTTCGTGATAACCAGTTATATTTGGAGTGTGTAATTCAGGGAGACTTGTATAGCTCCCGCGTTATTAGTACGTGAAGACAAGTGAAGATAGTGTTAAGAGATTTTGTTGTAGGGTTTGTAAAGTGTGGAAACCCGTAACATTGTGATAATTAATTGTAGCCGTTATTTGTAGGTTGTTGAATAAACCAATTAACAATCTCTACGGCGTATTCAGTAACGCAACACGTTACATTGGTGTAAGAAGTGGTTGCGAACTTATACACGTGACAAATAATTGAATTATTGTGCATCGAGTGGTTTACTGCTACAACATGGACATGGAAAAAGTGATGGAACGTCTGTTGTTCACCCAGGAGCAAATGGCGGCCAGACAGAAAGCCGATAGGGAGGAAGAGAGGAGGAAAGAAAAGGAAGAGATGGAGGAATGTAGGAGGAAAGAAAAGGAAGAGATGGAGGAATGTAGGAGGAAAGAGAAGGAAGAAATGGAGGAAAGTAGGAGGAAAGAGAAGGAAGAAATGCTAGCAAGAATGGACGCCAACATGAAATCCTACCAAGAAAAGATGGAGGCCAACAGAAGAAAAGACAGAGAAGATTTCCTGGCGAAGTTAGAATTCAATCAAGATAAAGCAGACATCATGCTGGCCAAATTAGACGCCTACCAAGAAAAGGCGGCGGCCGATAGGAAGGCCGACAAGGAAGAAATGAAGGCGGAAATGCAATGTATGCGGTCAGAGTTGGAAGAGATAATCCAACATAGAACTGAAAACTGTTTTGTGATCTTTGAACACGGCAAACGGATTCTGCAGTCGGAGCTAACTGCGAAGATTGAAGTGTCCCTCTGCGCATGAACGACAAAACTCCAAGAAGACTTAACGAAAAACTACAATGAAACCTGCGCAGCAATTGAGGAGGCCAAACGCGAGTTCCGGGCACGGTTGGACGAGACGAGACAGACGAAGGCCGAGCGGGGAAATACATCAAAAATCGTCGCGAGCACGGCTCAGCCACCGACATTCAACGGAAATTCGACGTGGAGCGTGTTCCGGCGACAATTCGAGACCGTAGCAGAACACAACCAATGGACGGACAGGGAAAAATTAACATACCTCATCACCGCTCTGAAGGGCCGGGCGGCAGAAGTGCTACCTGGCATTCCGACAAATACAACTTATGAGGAAACGCTTCATGTACTAGAAGACCGTTTCGGTGACCAACCCTTTGCAGCTGCCTACCGCTGCCAATTAAGAACAAGGACCCAGAAACCTGGAGAATCCCTGCAAGACTTTGCCACAGCCATTGAACTGCTTTCCCATCGTGCCTACCCCAATCTACCTGCAGACTACATAGGAAGAGAGGCAGGAACAGCCTTCGTATACGGAATACAAGATACCGATATAAAGATCCAGCTCCTGCTAGGAGGTGAGAAGAAGGTAAACGAGGCCCTCCGACAAGCACTAGAGCTGCAAGCGGTACAGATAGCAGCTAGACCTCACGAAGATAGCACCAAGACATACCGGAAATAACGATCGTCCGCCACCCAACGAGGAGACGGAAGACAATCAGGGTGCTGGAGTTGTGGAAAACTGGGCCACTTCGCGAATAACTGCCCCTACGAAGGCTAATAATGAAATGCACCGAGAACATGAAGATAGGCCAGGCAGATACACACGGGAATTGCCAAGAAGGCACGACGAACACATGAACAGGAAGGGTACCCAACTGCCGGGAAACGAGCGACAGCTGGCCCCCACACTACGGACTCACATGACGGCCTGCCAAGAGATAGAGGCATGTCTAGAAGGAGAAAAGCCGGCCTCAGTGGACACGAAACCTGCGGCGGCACAACAAGAGGAGGTCCCCATGTGATACCGGTTGGAGTGACGATGACCTGCCGACAAACAGAGGCATGTCCAGAAGGAGCAAAGCCGGCCTCAGTGGACAGGAAACCTGAGGGTTTCGAGAGGTACCCATACAAGACGCCTAAGCAAGGCCGGTCAGAGAACCGAAGAAGAAAAGGCGTAGGGACTGAAAGAAGCGGAATATGAAGAATTTGACGTGGGAAAAGAGTGGACCCCAGAAGAAGTTTGCTGCCCCCTGCAGGAAGACATCCCGTTGCGCGACAGTGGCACGACGTCGGAGAATGCCTTCAAGAAGGAAACTCCCCAGGGAACCTTCGGATGCTGGAGAGAGGACTTGGCGCCACGGTCTCATGCCAGCAAGTGGCGGGAAGACCAGGAGGAACGACGACGTCGGCCAGTGCAAACAACGCATCAAGGGCTGTTACGTCGACATAAGGAACTTCTCATGGAAGGCATAAACAAAGACTGGACACTGTGGAAGTGTCGACCGCCGCCAAAACAGAAAAGAAGACTTCAAACGGAAGAGGAGCCGGTAAAATAGAAGAACCGGCCTCCCCAGAGAGAGTGAATGTGCCATAGAATGAAAGTGATGGATGAATGGGACACAACCGGATCTTCTGGCGAGCTGAAAGGAAACTGCTCGAGACGAGATGGTCTTATGAAGGGAGCGGTTGTAACAGCCGGAGAACAGATGCTGCAAGAACGGCCTCCGAAGCAAAGGAACGGGGATGCACTGTTAGGCTATTCGGGACGAACAGCCTTAAGGAGGGAGTATAGTATAGGTAGTATAGTAGTTAGTATCCCTGCCTGTCACGCGGGAGACCGGGGTTCGATTCCCCGCCGGGGAGCCAAATGTAACGTGTTGCGTTACTGAATACGCCGTAGAGATTGTTAATTGGTTTATTCAACAACCTACAAATAACGGCTACAATTAATTATCACAATGTTACGGGTTTCCACACTTTACAAACCCTACAACAAAATCTCTTAACACTATCTTCCAGAGTCTTCACGTATTAATAGCGCGGGAGCTATACAAGTCTCGCTGAATTACACACTCCAAATATAACTGGTTATCACGAACTATCACTGATTCTCGCACACGCGTCTGTAGCTCATAACTTGCGAACTGAGAACTCGTTGATAACACACTGACCCGTAGGCTTGCTCGGAACTGAGCTCGGCGATGGCCACAATATAACTAACTCGCAGCCACTGTGCAGTTCCCTTATATAGCCGCAGTGCTTGCCTGTTGCGTAATGAGTGCCACGTCATCCTGTTACGTCACCGCGTGTTGCGCGTTACGTTACCGTGCGGAGGGGGTGGGGGGAGGGAGCGCTACGTTACCGCCACGTGCCGCTGGGGAGGTAGGGGTCCTCCGTTGCACAACATGTCACACTAGTTTGAAATGAATAGATATGACATAATATCATTAGCGTATCCAATTCCATAGTCAACAGACAACAGTACTGGTCAGAAAAAGGGTAGTAAATTCTTCTAAAAACAAATTTATTCATCAAAAAGCTAGGCATACTGTTTACACTGTGTTATCTTTGTTCTTTGGCCATTACAAGACTGAATCCTTCGGAAATCAGGCCCTGAATAGCTTACTGTACAGTCCCCGATGATACATGAGAGAAACAGAACATGTGATGGAATCAAAATTGGCAAGGGAAAACGATATACTTAAAGAAAACTTGCCCCAGTGTTACTCTGACCACCATAAATTGCACAGGCACACACCTGGGATTGAACTCAGGCTACCATGGTACCATGGTCTTCTTTACAATGCATATTAATACTTTTTTGTTGGTTACTGTACAACACTGTCAGTAGTTAGGCTACAGTGTTAAAAAAATTAATTAAGTTTTGTGATAAAGAAAAGAAAGAAATTCTCACCCATAAAGAATGGAACAAAATGTATCTGTGCAAGTGCAAAGTTGAATAACAGTACACCACATATAATAATAAAAATAAGACAAGAATAGCTAAAGCATTACCTCCAATGAAATCACGGTTTATATGGATGTCTAAAATTCATTAGAGGTTTCTAAATAAAATGAGTTTCACAAAACAAAATACCAACACTATGGAAACTATACTGCTTTTGCAAACAGAAACTCAATTTATGGGCCATAAATAAACACAAAAAACAAACTGTCATAATCGTGGGTTTCTGTTTTTAGAAAAATAAGCATAAATGCACAGAAAATGCTGGATGGCACTTCTACTCCCAACCAAGTGGGCAGCTATAGACATTTTCATTTAGTGGGGGATGGAGTCCAACTGGGTCCACTCGGCACAGCGGCCACTGATTGGCCTATTGTAGCCTGCCCTGGGTGATTACAATGGTGATTTTGGTGGAATGAAGATTGGCAGGGGAAACCGAAGTACTCGGAGAAAACCCAACCCCAGCACCACTTTGTCCGCCACAAATCCCACTTGACCAGACCCGGGATCGAACCCGGACTGCCGTGGTTGGAAGCCAGCAACTAACCGCTTGAGCTATGGCACAGCCCCAGCTATGGGCATATGAGCTTATGTACATATAAGAAGCTCTCTTTAACTTCCCACTTCAAATAACGCTAGAAACACTGAAAATGTTAACAAAAAAAAATCCTGTATCTGCACAAAAGTTAGAAGACACACTTGAAGAATATGTATTTCAACAATTTTTGGATATTACAAGTACCTGTAGGAATGATCATCTTTACAAATATTATAAATTCTCATTATATCCAGGATACAATGAACCACAATATACGGAGTGTTTCACGACTTTACGGCATAACTGCAGGAGGTGGTTTCCCAGGTCTTTGTGATCAAAAAAGTTCATATAAACATGTGTCCGATTTTGGATGGTTACGGAGTTATGACCGTTTTAAACTCAGAATAGAAGGTAACAATTACTGACAATAAATGGAACAAAATAATACACCAGCATAACACATGATACATTTAAAGTATGAATGTAAAGTTAACTTCGTGAAATTACCTTTAATTTGAATTTATTGATGCTTAAAGCTGATTTTCGAAAATGCCGCTGCCGGCCGCAACACAGGCTGCCATTCGGTTGTGAACCGCGCCAGACATACCAACCCTCCCCTCTTTAGGCACATCTCAAGTGTCGAGATAACGAGAACGTTCTGTCTGTACCTGGCTAAAAATAGCGACCCACCAGCTGACAGACACGGTACACACGAGGGCATGTACGGGAATGAAAAAATGGTCATAACTCCGTAACCGTCAAGAATCGGACACATATTTATATGAACTTTTTTGATCACAAAGACCTAGGAAATCACCTTCTGCAGTTATGCTCTAAAGTCGTGAAACACCCTGTATACATTCAAATCGTATTACCACCAGATTCTTTAAAACCCATAACTTATTCAGATGCTTCTGGCTGGCCATGATTTCCCTATCAATATTTATGTAGGCAATACTGACATAAAAATTTCAGATAAGTGATTTACCTTATAAAGAAATGGTTCCTATGGGCGTCCTGCAAAAGTGCTACCACCCGCAGCAATCTACATGTATGTAGTGTAAAGCTCCATTCCCGGTGGCTCACTTTTGAAGATACTGTAGTTACAAGATCACCACTGCACGATTCCTCTACACCATCCAACTTCTCTCTCATCACCTTCTCTGGACTTGGCGCTTGAACCCACCTAGACAAAAATGAAGCCCAGACGATGAAAAACCAAAAACAGGAAACTTAAAGTAATGCATATACTCCTGGTCTGAATTTTGAGTTTCATGGTGAGTGATGCCTGGTATATGTGCAGTCATGCTACAGTATATACAGAAAGAGGAGAAAGACCATGATTAATGATATTCAAACAAGATTCTGTCAATATATTGCATATCACATAAGGAAGAATAACAAGGAAAATCAACACTGAAACCAACTCTCCTAAGTTCACCATTCTTTGATTAACAGAAATTGCATAAGAGTCTTAAGCCACAAAGTTTCTGAACTTCTAACATTATTTCTTCACATATTAGCACCAAATACCAATTTGTAGCATACCTTCCTTATTTTTAAAACATAAAAGTATGTTTATGAGATAACCTTACCGTGTGTTTGTGTCAGTATGCACATTCACCCTAACTTTTGAATGCCTGAACTGATCTTTGACACTTAAAACAATGGAAGTATTGCATCAGGTTCTGGTTCTGTTTGAGCAACAGCCCTCTCCCACTCAGCTGATTCTCCCTACTATTGTATTGCTTCCTTTGCCTCTCAAATATGGTGGAATTTATAAATTTAACACAGCATATCACCTGGAATGGTCACAATAAATGCCTTTATGAGCAGAGAAAATCAGACCAGATGAAATACTTACCTTTCTAGAAGCTGTTCTGTGTAAGATTTGCCATATAATTCTTTTTCACATGCTCGCTGCAGTTTCATCCGCCTATACTCAAACCGCTCTCTCCACTCAGCCAGTTCTTCAGTCCCATGTGCTTCAACACACTGGGCACCATAGCGGCAGGAACCACCGCCATCTGCCCAGCTCTCGCACAATGTATAGGCATCTGATGTGAGTCCGCGAGGTGGAGGACGCCACTTCCAATCCCTCCCCTCATCAGACATGATGATTGTCTGGTGGCTCTCTGACTGACAATGGACACGCAGCTCGGAGCGATCAGAGAATGATAAACAGCAATAGCTACACACAGGTTTATTGCCATTCTCGGAATCAGAAACCAATAGTTGTTTTTCGGCACAGTCTCCATCTTCACGCATTTCATTTGCAGTAACCATTGATGCTGAAAATATTTAACACAAATGGAGCATTTCTGAAGTTCTTCAACACTGAATGTTCAATATAAATACTTTAAAAATAACAAGAATTTATAAGATTCAGAACCTGTAGCATAAAATAAAAAAGTAAATGAAGAACAGGGGAGTGAAATAATTTAAAATGCCATTTTCTAGAAAATGCAGCCATGAAGCTTGGGTCAGTCCCACCCATATCTTCAATATCCACACTTGTACTTGTCCCATTTCATAATCAGTTATTCATTCTGTCATGCCATTTCCATGTGCCACACGAGATATGTGAGCATTAAATAAGTGTTCATGTACAATATTGTCACGTGTTGGGTGAACAGACATAGGGTTTGGATTGGTAACTGGATTTATGGGACTCCCAAAACCCATAACTACACTAGAAATATTATATTTCAGTGTCATATTGTGTGAAATTTCTTTATTTTATTCCATCACCACAACAGGAAGTACAGGCATATCATACATTTGTTTCTTATAAGTTTCCCATCATTAAGCCTTCATCAGTTATTTGACTATTTTACATTCACCTGTGCTCTTCTGTTAATATTCATATACTGGCCAGTGTTTATATACTGGAATAGTTCTTATTTGTAATACATAATGGCATTTAATATAAAAAGGGGTGTTCACCTGTAACGTTAAATATTAACTGTTAAAATGTTATATCATTTAAAATTAAATTAAATTTGTAAAAAGGTTTTCTTATATTTCTTCTGGGTATAGAGAAACCTTAGAAGTTGAACCGGAAGAAGAAGTAGATACAGACGAGAAAGGACCATATATTTTATAAAGTGAGGTGGAAAAAGCTATCAAGGAAATGAGGAAGGGAAAGGCTACAGGAGATGATGATGTACCTGGAGATGTGCTCAAGTTACTGGGAGAAGGTGGTTTGAAAACACTGACAAAACTAATGAACACCATATATGAAAGTGG